CACCTTGCTCAGCCAGTGAGCAGCCGGTCTGTATGTGGGATCCGAACCCTCGGCGGGAGGGTCGCCGAGCTCCCAAGTGGCGCACTGTAGCAGTGCGCCACCGGGCCGGCCCCAGAAACAGACATTTCCTTTGCAAGTGCCCGGTATGTTTAGTAGCACTGCTTTGTACAATTTAGTCTTGGTTAGGTCTCCTTTGTAGTGTCATCTCCTTTCATTGAGTACTTACTATCTGCCAGGCTCCGTGTTAAGCACTTGTGACAGATGTAGCTGTTGAACAGGTCTGCTCTGTAATGGATGTGATTCCAGACCGTGAAAGAGGCAGTACCAGCCTTGCCTCACCATGGGACTTTGGATCCCGCTGCTGGAAGTTTTCTCTTGGGACTCGACTCATGGCTACCATAGCACTTTTCTTTTATCTCTCTTATGTCCTTTATCACCTGGGACATGAATTACTGTGACGCAGTAGAGACACTTCATTTGTTTTATTAGGTTCTAACCTAAGTTAAAGAGCGTGGTCTTTGCAAAATTGAATCCTCTTGCTTTAATTTGCTATTTTTTCATCTTCTAAATTTTGTTGGGAGACTTGATTGCTACTGAGTTTGTGGGAGAATGAGACTTTTTGTTTTACCTTCCTAACATGTTTTATATTTAGTAAATGCCAGAATTCTTATTCTTTATAGCCAATTCTTATTTATCTGTGGTAATGGGGATAGAGTGAGCCTGAAACCACAGTTTCAGAGAACAAATTTCAACTGTTAATTTTAACATTTCCTAACTAGCAGACTTCTCAACAGTGATTGTTAAGAATTGGCTTGTTTTAATTTGGCTTCTTTTTGTTTGTTTGTTTCTACTATAATCAACATTCTGACTACTAGAAATTTAATGACAAATAAATGTAGACTGTGTTTATCTGATTTGTCCTTAAAGTTAATGTTCTAAAAGCTAATTAGAAATTTATTTTCTTTCTCATTTGTTCTTATTTGTTCTTTAGCATGTGAGGCCTCTCCCTTGATATGTACCTTAAAACATTGTAAGTTAGAATGGCAACTCCAATTTTCATTATTCTGAGAATGCTCTGTATAATAATTTCCATTATAAACCCAATCTGGGGATGGGAAATGAAAATTGGTTTGGTAAGTGCCCCATAGAGTTATTTTGAAAATACAGAAAATTTGGTGAACTACCTTTAATTTCTGAAATGTGTAAATATGAAAAAATTGTTGGCTTGTTGCCTTCTTACTGTGAAAAGTTCCATCAGGGGTATGTATTTTAAATGGGCTTTTCTTCCCTTCCCTTTGTAAAATTGCCTTTGTGACATCTAGTTTTCTGTCATGTATTGCAAAGTTGTGAATACTGCCCCCTAGTGACAGAGTGTAATATTGCACACATGGTGTACTTTGAGAAATAGGGAAAACATATATATCATTACATTCATCAAGAGTTCCAGTCATGGTTATAACTAATTTCTTGCCCCAAATTTTCATTTATAAGCAAATCTCTTTTGTTTGGAATGCCATGTTTGTGCTGCATAGTTTGCTAAACATTGCAGTTTTCATTATTAGGGTCTTCACTCATTTGGTTGACAATTACCAAGTAGCTTCTAATGTCCCTTTTAAATTGGCAGTACTGTCTTTCCAGGTTACTCACCTAGTGACAGTAACAAAGCAGTTAACAAAGCACTTTACCAGTGACATGCCATTTAATCTTCTTAAATAACCTTTTGAGACATATGAGGAAACTGAGTCTTAGAGATGTTAAATGTCTCCTGTGAGAATGCATTATATTTAGAATTCATTGGAATTACAGAGGCCATCTGGTTCGTCCTTCTTCTTTATGCCTGTAGAAATTTATTTTGGAACAGTGTAAGAACTTTTGTATCTTTCAATATTTCTAAATATCTTTTAATTTTAATATTTTCTTAATATTTCTTAATATTTTCTTAATATTTCTTTTAATATTCTCTTTCTCTCTGGAAGAGTAATTAATTCTTTCTCTCTGGAAGAGTATAATTAAAGTATATAAATTTATTCTTTCCCCATTTTAATCTTCTTGATATGAACTTGCAGACCCAGAACACTTTGTGAACTTTGAGAAGTGTCTTTCTTCCATGAATAGCTCGGAAGTGATTTGTCTTCTGACTACCTTTGCTCAAATGGCTCAGGCCAGAAGAACCAACATGGATGAAGACTTCATAAAAATTATTGTTCTGGAGATATATGAGGTTAGAATATGAAGTTTTTAAAATCAGCTAAAAAATGTTTTCTTTCGGGTTGTCCATCTGTTGATTCTTTTGGGATTGCTCTTAAAAAAATGTGGCTTATGAGTGTTGAGCTACTGTCTATACTCATGGAAGGGGATAGAGAATCAAAGGAACATCATTTTGCTATTGGGAGTATTGAAATGAAAATCGTACCATTCTTTGACTCACTGCTATCTCTTGACATCTGATGCATGAGTTTTGGTAAGGAATAGGCAATCTAGCACAGCCTGACACTTGTAGCTTTTATACTGTATGTTTTCCTCAACACCCCTCCCCCAAACTCCATTCCTCCACCCCTGCCAGTAATACAGAAGCCTGGTTTCCAAGCCATTTTAAATGAGACAGTAGAAAGAATATTGAACCTGGAGTTCGAAGCATGAATTTTGTTTAAACTCTGCTATTAGTTGCCCATCTCACGTCAGAAATTATCTTTTCTCTCTGGGCTTCATTTTCCTCATCTGTAAAATGACAGGCTGGGCTGAGAACCTAACTCTATTCACTTTTTCACTGAGCCATCCCTAATGGTGGAAGGGAGTAAACTTTGGACTCCTTAGTGTCTAGGGACTAGCTCAAAGTGGCTACCAAAACTTTCATTGGAATTCCGTCTATATTTAAAAAGCCATGCACATTTTGCATTTTGGACTGTCATGTATCTGTTATTCTTTATAAAAAATATCTCTCTATAAAGTATTAAGTATATTCAAGTAAAATTATGTTCAAAGAAGATTCTCTGAGTTTATTATCCTCCCCTATTACTCCACTTTGAGAGTGAGAGACCTGGATGATTTAAAATTCTTTCTATGGTCACATACTCTATTTAGCTTTTCCTATACTTGTAACTTTGTGATCAATTCAAGCATGAAGTTAAGACCCGGATGGATCTGGAATTCAAGACTGTCTTCAGGGTCTGAAAAAAATATGGGGAAAAGTTGTATTTTCACATACATTAAGTGACATTCTCAAGATCTATTGCTAAGGTAATATTTATGCTCTTGAATAATGTTTCCAGTATTTTGACCAGGAGTTATAGTACAAATTACATTCTGTATTATGTTCTGATCCTGTGTGTACGCGTATTTGAAGCAATACTTAATCTTCCTTTGATGCACTGTCACATTTTTCTATTCTATTTTACTCTCTCTTACTTTTCTGTTGTATTTCTTTGTATTAAAAAAAATGGATTGTAACCTGTGGCTTGAAAGGCACTGTTCAAGAGGAGCTGTTAAACACTGAAATTTTGGAAGCTTTTTCAGTTAGGGGTCTTATTTTGTAGGAGAGAATAGGCATTTCCATGAAACGTATTCTGATTTCCATCATTTTAGTGATATCCTCAAATTTAAAAAAGTTTTGACACGAAGGGACTGTTTTATTGCTACTGACAAACTTTGGGATATATTTTGAATCCAGCACTTGAAGCGGCTGTTATAAATAGTTGCCATTTCCCTAGATCCCCTTTCCTCCAACCTTCCAGTTGTTATGGCAGACAGTTTGCTATCTGAAGTTTCGACATCTTTTTGAAAATGGTGTGAACTGAGGCTCAATGTGAGATTCTTTCTGCTTTACTTAAAAAACCATGGAAATGTGTTTTAGACTGATAATTGGTATTAAAAGTACCATCTCCTCCCTTCCCTCCATTTAGGTATCTTATGTTACCCTGTCCACCAGAGAGACTTTTTCAAAGGTTGGTCGAGAGCTTTTAGGGGCCATCACAGCTGTTCACCCTGAGATAATTTCTATCCTTTTGGATAGAGTTCAAGAAACCATTGACCAGGTTGGAATGGTAAGAGCACTGAATTTGTTTCTTTGCTTTTTTTTTTTCCTTTTTAAAAAAAATCCTGAAGTAATGGAACAATGGTAAAAATAGGAAGGTTGGTGGGAATGACTCTGTCACTTAAGGGCACAACAGGATGAAAGGAACTAACATTTACTGTGTGCCAGTCTCCATGCCAACTTGGGATTAGCTGCTGCTTATACAAAGCTGTGATTGTTTCTCTCAAAACTCCTCAAAGTTGACTTTCCCACTTCTTTCAATAACAGGTTTTCATTTAGTTATAATCTGTAGTTAATTAACAGTTTTTATTTCATAGTTTGTTTGGCTTTCACAATTCTTATATTTTATGCTTAGAAAAAACAACTGTGACTATGAAAGAAGGCCCTATGTGAAATCAGTCAAAAACAAAATTAAACGTAGTAATTTTAGTTGAGCAAGACACAGATACAGTTTATTTCTGTCATTTGTCACAATCCCTTTTGCAATCTTCATGTAGTTTTTAAAAACAGCTTTCTTGATATGTAATTCATACACCATTCAATGCGTCTATTTAAAGTGTACAAGTCAGTGGTTTTAAGTATATTCACAGATATGTGCAACCATCACCACAATCAACTTTGCAGCATTTTTATCACCTGAGAAAGACACCTTATACACTTTAGTTACAACATCCTATTCTTCCATCTCCCCCAGCCCTAAGCAACTGCTGGTCTGCTTTCTGTCTCTATTGATTTGCCTATTCTAGACATTTTATGTAAATGGAATCATATAATATGTGGTCTTTTCGTGACTGGTTTATTTCACTTAGCATAACGTCTACAAGGTTCAACCATGTTGTAGTATGTGTCAGAATTTCCTTTTTAAGCTGGAATAATATTCCATTGTATGCATATATCACATTTTGTTTATCCATTCATTCATTAATGGACACTTGTGTTGCTTCTACCTTTTGGCTATTGTGAATAATGCTCCTATGAATATGAGTGTACAAATATCTCTGAGACCTTGCTTTCGATTCTTTTGGGTATATACCCAGAAATGGAATTGCTGGATCATGTGGTAATTCTATTTTTAATTTTTGAGGAACTACCATACTGTTTTCCATAGTGGCAGTACGTGGTACTTTCTCCTTTTAAGTAAAACACTGTGTCCTGCTGTGATGACATTTCTCTCTCAAGTGTTTTTCTGTTTTTGGCTACACTTTCATTTTTAATTTGGCAATAATACTTCTGGTAGTAAATTGTGCCCAGAGATATGCCTAACTTTAAATGTAAAAATTGGAACCATAATGTTTTTTAGAACACGTTTTCTGTAAGATGCCTCCACTCTCAGTTTATATGTGTGGTTCCATTGTGCACTGTGAACTTGCTCAGGTTTTTGGAGGGCCTTGTTCAAGTCCCCTATGCCTTCAGATGAATATGATGACTTTGAATATTTTTGATTATTTTTTCTTGAGTCAGTTTTGGTACATTATGATTTTAAAGGGATTTTCACGGTTCATCTAACTAGTTGAATGTATTGGCACTGAGTTCTTTGTAATATTTTCTTGTTAATCTTTTAATGACTCTAGGGTCTTTCACGATAAACCCACTTTCATTCTCGATGGGCGGCTATTGTGCCATACCATTATTTTACATAGACATAGATGCTTTTCTGGACAGATCTCAATGCTATATTGATTGTTCCAGCACCACTATTTTTCTTTCTGTCACATACTTACAGGGTAAAGTAGGACTTTTCTTTTTTAAAATTACCATTTTACCATTTTATTCAGAATAATCAAGATCTTTTTTAATTAGTCCTTGTGAAAATTTAAGTAAATGCACACACACAATAAAAATAAAGGAAAGAAAAGAAAAGTTTATTTAATAAAAATTCTTTCTACTGTTCTTTCAAATTTTGTTTTGGCTTCAATTTGGAACAGTGCAGAACCTGAAAAACACTAGAAGGTATGTCCTAGACCTGTGTTGTCTGATATTGTAGCCGCATATGACTATAGAGCCCTTGAAATATGGCTAGTCCAAACTGGAATGTGCTCCAGTACAAAATACTGACTGAGTTTTGAAGGTTTTTTGACTTTAAAAAAAATATGGCTATTAGAAAAATTAAAATTGCATTTTTGGCTTGCATTATATTTCCATTGGACAGCACTGTTCTAGGCATTATAAAATGAATTGATCTTCTGCTCAGTCTCCCTTAAAACAAATTGGAATAAGGGAATCCAGATTTATCATAATTTTTTTAATAGATATATTATTAAAAAAGTGGTGCTGTAGACTTTATGTGAAGAGGATTTTTAAAACTTTTTATCATGGGATATTTCAAATTTATATAAAGTAGGGAGAATATTATAATGAATCCCTATGTACCCATTATCTAGTTTCAACAGCTGGTTGATCTTGTTTCATCTCTACTCCTGTCTGTTCCTCTCCCTGCCCCAGTTTGCTTTGAAGCTCATAGAAATATCCTTTAAAATGCATAAAATAGGAGAAAGTGCTAAAATTTTTGTAAAATGAATGGCCACTCCCTTATTTATCATGACTTTAAATTTGTGTCTTAGTATAGTGGTTTACCTAAACTGAAACTTACCAATTTACATATAAAAAAAAGATTACAAAGGACTGCAAAATGTGCTTTCAGTGTATCATCATCAATATTAATACTCATTTGATTTGGGCGTCCATGATTTCCATTTCACTTATCTAAAAATCCAACAAAACCCCACTTCCTCTTGGAGAAAAATTTTTGCAAGCAGTTTAATAATGTAGTGTTACAGTAATATAGGATTATCCTTAAGTCTTGATTGTAATGATTATTGTCTTCTTTTTAATAAGGTTTCTCTATACTTGTTTAAAGAACTGCCTTTGTATCTTTGGCGACCTTCTGCCTCGGAGATAACTGTGATTCGAGATTGGTTATTGAATTACAGTCTGACAGTGGTGAAGAATAAACTGGCCTGTGTTATTCTAGAAGGACTGAATTGGGGATTTGCTCAACAGGTATGTGTTAAAATTGTTCCCAAGAGACAGGAGGTTCTACATGTATCAGTTTTCAAGGAAGCATCTTCTCAAAACATTAATGTTTCAGAGTATCATTTGCAAGGTCTGCAAATTCATTTAGCTGTGTCAGAGTTTAGAATCTTCTCTTTAATTCTGTTTTGCATAGTGAACATCCTCTAAATGAAGATAAATTGTTCCACATTGAAAATTCTTCCCTTTTTCCTTAGACCATATGTATGTGTTGTTTTGTCTCTGGCTAGTTACTTTACTTTCTCCTAATTGCCTCTTTCCCTGTCCAGCTTCTGGTCTCTCTTCCTCCTGCAGTTTGTCTTGCATGTCATTGCCAGAGTTGTCTTCTGAAACACTGTGTATTGGTTAAGAGCCTGAGCTCTGAGCTAGCCTATCTGGGTTCTGTTCCCAGCTCTGCCTCCTCCTGGCTGTGTGCCCCTGAGCAAGTTTCCTAAACTCTCTGAGCCTTGGTTGCTCATTTGTAAACATTGATGTATGTAGGCATACCTCATAGGGTTGTTGTAAAGATTCAGCAAGTCAGAACACATCAGACATTTAGGACAGTTCTTGACACATGTTAAGAACTCAGTGGTATAGTTACTAATGGTTTGTTATTAAGGGTTTGCTACATATCATATGTCTCCAAAGATGCAATGTGAAGTGATTTTGACTGTTTAAATAAAGCCTTTCCTGCCTCTTTACCTCTATTTAACTAATAGGTATTATTAGTTAGCTCCTTGATCAAAATATTAACATTGTAAGGAGAAAGTGGTAGAGAACTCAGCCCTCTACAGCTGTCTGCCAGCTTTTGTTCTCAGCAAGTCATTTAGTACTCTAGGCCATCTTGTATGGTTTGTATTAACATGATGCCTGTTGTACACATGAGAAGACTGAAGTCAGGGAGCTTCTCTTCTAGGGTGTGCCTGACCACCTGGGACTACCCATGGTTCATCTCATGGAGGTGCTGGTGGGTGAGAGCTACAGGGGGCTGTTTTCCACCTTCATATTCCCTGACTTGTGAACAGAATCCCCCAGCCTCCCCTCTCCCAGAGAGCTGCGTGAAGACTCCACTAGAGAGTCCCCTCACTCTTTTGTTAGAGTTAGGAAGGTCATCTTCTTTGAAAGAGTTAAGGAATATATTTCTTCAGACTGCAAAGGAGGATTGGGTGGGAAATTTAGTAGGCAACTTTGGGCTCCAGAAGGAATATTTTACCTATGTTGTAGAATTAGGAAGGTCATCTTCTTTGAAAGAGTTAAGGAATATATTTCTTCAGACTGCAAAGGAGGATCGGGTGGGAAATTTAGTAGGCAACTTTGGGCTCCAGAAGGAATATTTTACCTATGTTGTAGAGCATCTTATTTTCATTGATAATAGAACAAGAAAAGGGAATGCAGGCTTATTTTATTAAAAATCTTCTTATTTACTTAATACTAATTAAGCATCTTCCTGGTTTGTGGCAGTGCCCTTAACCTATAAGTCAAAGTCTTTGTAGAGATTCTAGGGTGGGATGGGGGATTACATTCAAAGATACCTTTTTTGGCTGGGGCGAGGGATGACTCAGGTTCAAACCTACATAGGTGCAGTGTAATGGCTCTTTGAAGAGTTCAGTTTTTTCCTATCATAATTTTATAACTTCACTATTAGGAGATGTGTTTTTTGGAAAATTTGGCTTCTGCATCCAAGTTTTTACTATTCTGCCTAATCTTTTGGTTCAAAGGTACAAAAAACTCCCCAAAACAAAAAAAAAGATGGTATGTTTGTGATTATTTTTCTCTTAAAAGGGTACCCTTCATCTGGATCAAGCAGTCCATGTTGAAGTGGCTTTAATGGTTCTTGAAGCTTATCAGAAGTACCTTGCGCAGAAGCCATATGCTGGGATTCTTTCTGAAAGTATGAAGCAGGTATTTAATTCTCTTCTGTATTGAAAACATAAATCTTTATGAATGGCCTGGGCAGATAAAGTAATCATATTTGCTCTTAGATTTCCTAAGAACATTTCTTGCAATTTAAAATATTAAAATTGATTTTTATGATTGGGTGAAACTTTTTCTTTAAGAAGTAGCCTTTCTGTGACCATTTTAATATTAGGGATTTGAGTTGAGCTATAGTTGTATTCCAGAGCTCTCTTGTACTGGCTTGGGAGAACTGGCTGTTAAATTTTCAGGAACCTTGCAAGCCAGGCTGTTAAACTGTTAGTAGCTTGAGATTGGCCGTGGTGGGTATTTTTACACCACCAAAATTGGCAAATATTATAAATGAGACCCCTTACCCTGATTCTTAAACTTATTTATCAGCATTCCATTTGGTGAGTGTCAACTTTTATGTCAGTTCTCTTTTATTTGAGCTAAGATCAGGTTCACAGAGTGACCAGCAAGTAAGTGGAACTGGTCAGTTGTGAGAAGTAGCTTTAATGTAGTGCAATAAACATTAATCGAAGACCATTAAGTAGTATATACCTTTCTTATGAGGGCATTTTTGATCACAAAAGGAGATGGATGGATATGACTTTACTGATTTAATTTGTGTGGGACTAATGTGGCTTAAAATAAATAATCGTTTTAGGTTTCATATCTGGCCAGTATTGTTCGATACGGAGAGACACCTGAGACCTCATTTAACCAATGGGCCTGGAATTTGATCTTGAGGTTAAAACTGCACAAAAATGATTATGGAGCACAGCAGAATTGTCCAACTGTTCCCTTCTCCAGCACGGTGCCTGACATGACAGAGTCACCGACGTTTCATCCTCTCTTGAAGGCTGTGAAAGCGGGCATGCCCCTCGGCTCTTACCTAGCCTTATCTATGACGGCTGTGGGCCACAGGTACAGTGTTTGGCCTGAACCTGTAGGGTTGTTGAACCTCATAGGTAGTAGTTCTGAAATTTCATTTTTCACATCCCAAGGTCTGAGGCCTCCATCAAACCTATTGAAGTATAATTAGGGCCAAATAATAAGCCTTGATTAATAGCTTATCAAGGAGAAATGCCCAAATTCACATAAGACAGATTTGTACCAGAAAACCACCTTGTTACATTATGAAGAGAGCTATACCTGTGACCCAGAAAGGAATGTTTATGTCAGCAGTAAATTTGTATGATCTTCCTCAGAATAATGATCAAATGAAAATGATTTGAATAATGAATAGTGAATTTTTAAAGAAAGCGATGGCAGCCCAACTCAGTCTCCTTAGCTAAAGGACTACACCTGACCAAGAGAATGAAATGCTTGATCAGGTCACATGCCTGACTCTGGTATGAGCCTGTAGTTGTCTGTATTTCTTCCACTGGAACATTTCTTACACCATAGAGCAGTTGTCTATTTAATCTTCTCAGGGATCCTGTTATGTATGTAACTTGTATGAGGTCAGTACCCAGGAATGGTGTTCGTCTTGTGTTAACATTTTATTCCTACTGATGAAGATTGTAACAGGCGCAGTAAATAATTGAATGCGTGAGTGAATTCTCAGTTGGTTAAAAATCCTTTTCTTTAAAGATCCTTTTCCTATAAAATATTAATTTTTTTCTAGTCTGTCCATTTTTCTAAAGCCTTTTTGACCTGTGCTTTCTGATTCTTGTGTTTTAGACTCACTTGTAACACCTTTCTTTTTAGCGTCCTCATTTCAACAGTAAGTATAATTTCAATGGGACACCATTGTCCTTCAGCTGTTATGTTCAGCCTTGTGCTATGGAGAAGGAGAAATATGGAATTATTAGATAACTTCCCACAGGTTGTTGACAGTCCATTGGTAGGTATAAAACAATTGGCAGTATTGTAGAATATACTTATAATCACGGGCTGAATGATATGTATAGAGCCGTGGTTCTCAGCTTTGGCTGCTCTTTGAGACCCTTTTTAAAAATGCCAGTGCAAGGAAGAGGGTGAGAATCCTGGTTTAATTGGTTTGGGAGCTGGTTCTATGGATGACACTAAGGTATATCCTGCACTGAGAACCACCTAGAATATGAGCAGAAAGACTGAAAGGAAGGAGAGAGATCAGTAGAGCAGGATATGTTCATGGAGGAGCTGAGCTTTGCAGAGGAGTCTTAATTTAGAGAAGACATTCGAGGCTGAGGAGCACAGTGTTGATGTGTTCCTTCCCCAGGTGCTTAGTGCCCACAGTTGACAATTCAGTTCCAGGGCCATCTTCTGCCACCTGCAGCATCTGTGCATTCTGAACAGCACAGTCACTGTATTGTATTGTAATCGCTCCCTCTTCTCATAGACTGTTGACTCCTTGAAGATAGGGGCATTGTCTTGTTCATCCTTGTATCTCCAGAACTTGTACTTAGAAGGTATTCAGCAAATGCTGGTGGGTCGCATGACTGTGGGAAAGAGCATCAGGTGTCTGAGCGGATAGGGAGGGAGGAGGGAAGATGCTGAGGAAACACTCTTGACTGAAGCCTGAGATACATGTTGGAGAACGGAGGTGATCATGTGGTTGATAGTGCCAAATCCCGGACAGATTCGAAAGCTACTAGTAAGAGAAGAGGAGAGACCTGGTACAGGCCTTAGGAAGGCACTCTTTACATTGTTTCCAGTAGCTCTAGTGTCATTAACTGTTTCGTCTACCTCAGGTTCCTCATCTCTAAAGTGGGAATGATAATAATATTAGACTTATTTAATGAGACTTAAATGAGTTAGAACCATGTAACATGCTTAGAACAGTGTCTGTTCTGGCACGTGGATTCTTTAAGTGCAGTTTTCTGAAGTGTTTCTTGATTTTTCTGATTTCTTGTATCCATTCCAGGATGGTAGCTTATGATTCACTGACAGGGGTATGGGTTCTTTCTAGACATAAATATTTGTTTAGTGCTGATTATTGAATACTGAATGGGAGCAAGGGTGAGAATAAGTGTTTCCCCTCAGGCTGACCTCTAGTGTAAAACTCCACCATGGTCATCTGCGATGTAGACGTACTAGAGTACAGAAGTAACTTAAAACAATCCTATGAATGGGCTTGGGGCTGGGGGCAGAGTAGGCAGAGACATAAACTGTACATGAATATAGCATTACGAACACTACAGAGAACAGTAGTCAGAAAATCCTCCAGAATCTTTCCCACCCTAAAAACATTGCTTTTTTTCTGTTTATCTATTCAGTATTTCTTCTTCTTTTTTTTTTATTGTAACATAGTTGATTGTACATATCTGTGGGGTACAGAGTTGAATGTCAATACCTGTGTGCAATATGTGATGCTCAAATCACCGTTGTTTTTTCTTTGATCTCTTTTAGAGCTGTAGTGTTTGTATAATTTCATATCCTTTGTTTTTTACTTTTAGTATTGCAAGTATTTACCTTGTGGCACAAACTTTGCACTGTTTATTTTTTGAAATGATTTTCCGCCCTAGAATTAAAGCAATATAACCAAACTGCAGAATTAGGAAAATGGAGAAAAAGCTATTCACGTCTACCGCTCTAATACAGTGAACATTTTGGTGTGACATCATCTGTGTTTTTTTCCCTCTATATAAATTTTCTGGGCTGGCCCAGTGGCGCACTGGATAGTGCGCTGCTTGGGAGTGCGGTGGCGCTCCCGCCGAGGGTTTGGATCCCATGTGGAGACTGGTTCCCGCTCACTGGCTGAGCGCGGTGCAGGCGCAACACCGAGGGTTGCGATCCTGTTGCCGGTCCCTGGTACGGGCGTGACACTGAGGGTTGCGATCCCGTTACCGATCAGTAAAAAAAGACAAAAAGGAAAAAATAAAAAAAATAAAAAAAAATAAATTTTCTTTTCTAGTAGTTATAATCATGAGTATGAAATTTTATGTTTTTTTCCCTAGTATCATATGGTAGAAGTATTTTTCCATGTTGCCCTTGGCCATCATATTTATGATTTTTAAATGATGCAATAATATTCCCAATGAATGGAGTTTTCAAAAATTTACTTAAGTCATTTTCTGCCTCTGAGTTTTGCAGTTTTAAGTAAATTTGAAAAGTGCATCTTTACATGGATCATCTTTCATGTTTTTTCCATGTTTGAGATTATTTCTTAAGGATAGATTCTCTGAAGTTAGTCAAAGAATAAGATCATGCCAGTTTGGTTTCAGAAATTTTACCAGTTTATACTGACAGATTGAGCTCACTTTCAAATCTTCTTTTTGCTGTAATATACCTTGTGGGCTTATCCAGAGAAGGAGAGCACTAATTGAGAAGCAAAATGGGATAGTGAAAAGTGCTCTGGACTAGAAATTTGTAAACCTGGGTTCTCATTTTGACCCTACTGTAGGAAATTATGTGAATTTGGGCATAATACTTTTCCTTCCTCATCTAGAAGGTAAATATCTAGATGTACATTTAAGTTCCTTTGTAATTCCAGAGTTCTGATTCTACTGTTTCTGTGTGAAGATTGGGTATGAAGAATGTGTTGGAGACCTGAGATGATCCAGCTGATAGCCCATTGGAAGAGTATGGTTTTAGGAACTGGCTACTTTGTGTGCTCATTGCCTTTTTCTTTTTCCATAGCATTGAGAAGTTCTGTGCAGAAGGCATCCCACTGTTGGGAATTCTGGTCCAGTCAAGGCATTTGAGAACAGTGGTCCATGTCTTGGATAAGACTGTACCTTTGTTCTATCCTTGCCAGTATTACCTTCTGAAGAATGAGCAGTAAGTATCCTCTGTCTGTGGCAGGAATTGTTCTTTAGAAACAGCCCAGTGAGTACAAGTGACTGTGTCTTCTGCTTTCTCAAGTAAAATAAAGGGAATATTTCAACAGTGTATTTTTTATGAGGCAGAAGACTTTACCCCAGTTTAGAATGCAGATTGATGAACAGTGATTCTAAAAATGATTCTAGTTTTATCATCATGAAAGATATTTTCCTTCTCATTTACTTTGGATTGTGTATTATAGCTTATTAGTATTTGAAAAAGCAGTTGTTTCCATGAGACTCAAAGAATAGTGCTTCTGACATTGAGCAGCAAATGGCTTTGCCATTGTAACAATTACAAGAGGTTGTTTTTAATTGCCTACAGTGTGCGTAATGCAGTATTGCAAACAGATAAGATACGTAGAAAAGTGGGAAAAGAACTGCCTATCCAGGGAGCAGGGAGTTGAGCATCTGGCTGGAGCCTCATGAAGAGTGATGAAAGGAGAGGTGAGGCCCAGTGTGGAGGAGCCCTATATGGTAGGGGACAGGTAGTGCATTCACAGACACAAGGAGGATGTTACAGTTTTCCTATTTTGTGTCAATTCAAGCATTGTGTCTCAAACTTGCCTGGTGATGAGAATCACTGGGGAGAGCTTATTAAATACAGGTTCCCAGTCTCCTCTCCTGCTGATTTTACTGTAGTAGGAATGGGTTAGGGTCTGGGGCCAGGGAACCAATTTTTTTTTTTTTTTATAATTGGCACCCTGGGCACTAGGCAAGTTTGGGAACTGAATGATTTAGAAAACATTTGTACTTTCATTAGTGAAGGGGTGGGGAATGTGGAGGGGATAGTGGTGCTTTGGGTGTTTTTTTTCTCTAATGCTCTTTAACTTGCATGTATTTGTGTTTATTAGATCTGTTGACTATACTTCTGCAGGTAGGTAGAATTCCTTTTAGTCCATGTTATTCGTGACAACCTTATTCTTCTGAAATTCCTGAAGATTTCTCAGCATCCCTAAACAGTGCTTTGGTCTAAAAATGGGACCAATTTAATATTTTTCTGTTTTTTTCATAAGTAATAAGCCACTGGAAATTCTCTTGACTCCTGATTGGAAGGTAAAGCGTGTCCTCCTGTGTGCTTGGCAGGTTTCTGTCACACCTCCTGCTGTTCCTACACTTGGACAGTGGTGTGCCTCAGGGTGTCACACAGCAGGTTACACACAAGGTGGCACAGCATCTGACGGGAGCCAGCCATGGGGACAACGTGAAGCTTCTCAACAGCATGATCCAGGTCAGGGCCCTTGCAAGCTCCTAAAAATACCCTCACCCATCTTCCCAACCAAAAATACCAATCTGGTGTTAACACATTTATGATTTGGTCATTTCAAATCACTTGGCACAGTGCTTTGGCCAAGAAGGTCAACAGATTAGGGCTTTGTAGTAGAGGTAGGTATTATTCTGTTGGTGTTTTAAAAATGAGAGGCTGGTTGTTACTTTTCACATCACCCGAGCCTTTCCACAGGCACACATATCTATAAGTACTCAGCCCAATGAAGTGGGTCCTGTTGCTGTATTGGAGTTCTGGGTTCAGGCTCTTATAAGCCAGCATCTTTGGTACCGGGAACAACCCATCCTCTTCCTCATGGACCACTTGTGTAAAACAGCTTTTCAGCTGATGCAGGAAGACTGTGTGCAGAAATTACTCTACCAACAACATAAGGTAAACTGTTAGAGAATTATCTTTCAGACACTAGCTTGATAATAGCTTTCTAAAAAGGTTCCCTCAAATGCCTAGTTCTCACTACTACTCTGTGGCCACTGCCTTTTTAAAGCTTTGCCTTAATGGCGACTTATCTGAATATTCATAGTCCACCAGCATGGATCCCAGGGAGGTCAAATGAAAGGACACTGCAGGAAGAGCCCTGCTGATTACATTTGGTTGTAATGCACTCCTGGGACTGTTGCTGCTGGTGGACTCATTCTTGAAATCTCTGGCTTACCAGAGTCTTCTGTTGTAATGAGATAGTTGCTGATATTCTTGGAGAGTTCACTGCTAAGGTTTTTTTTAAAGCCTCCTCTCTGCCCCACATCTCCTTGGTGTAGAATGCTTTGGGTTACCACTGTGACCGGAGTCTGCTCTCTTCTTTGGTGAGCTGGATCGTCGCAGGCAACATCACTCCTTCCTTCTTGGAGGGCATGGCTACACCCACTCAGGTAGGCAAACCACTGAGAGGACCATGTATTAACTTGTGGGCTTTAACATTGTTAGTGCTTGCTGCGTATCAGTATACTTTTTCATTTAATCTTCACAACAGCCCTCTGCTGAGGTTGTACTATTGCCATTCCTGTTTCACAGACGAGTTAGCTGAGGTTCAGTGGAGTTACATGGCTGGCTCAGGATCAGACAGCTGTTGATGAGACTCCAGTTGGCCTGACTCAGAGCCTGCCCAGCAGTGTGGCAGAGAGGTTAAGAGTGGGTGCTGGATCCAGACGGCCCGAGTTTCAATCTTGCCTTGGGCAGCTTCCTTACCTGTCTATCCTCAGTTTCCTCATGATTGTACCTATATGTAAAGCATTTAGGACAGTGCTTAGCACATGGTCAGTGCTAACTAAGTGGTTGGCTCTTGTTTGATTATTGTCATCATTATAATCAACAGCATTATTTTCATTTTTACCACTTCTCAGATTTTGTATGTAAAATTATGTCTCTTTTTCACCATTTAACCCAGTAGTTACATTCTTCAGCCTCCTATCAGTCTTACTTCCTATTCTTCCTCATACCTCTTGTGACCAAGCTGAAACAAACTGTTTGCTGTTACCCAGACACATCTCTGGGTTTTCCACCCCTTTGCCTCTGCCTAGCTGATTCTCTTACCAGGCGTGCCTTTCCCTTTGATTTCTACGGAGAGCCTTCTCTGATATAGCACTTTACCCTGGCTCAGCCCTCACCACTGCCCACTTCCCATTTTGGTTACTTACATCTTAGTCTTGTCTACTCCACTAGATGGAAAACTTCTTAAGGGCAGAGCCCATGTCTGGCTCTCTTTCCAGTCCCTCATACATACAGAACTTTCCCAGTAAATATTGTTGAGTAAACAAACATCCTTCTTGTGGTAAAGTAGCCTTTCCAAAGGAATTTAACATTTTCCAGTGATCTCTTTTATCTAAATTTATGCCTGTGACAAGAATATACATAGGTATTAAAAATGTGTTAATTTTAGAAACTATGAGTATTTGCTGGCTGAGATCAATGATAAGAAAAGATTTTAATTTGCAGAATGTCAGGATATATTTTGTCATTTGGAGTTAGCTGCTCATTCCTCTCCCTTTTACCTGGTGTCGTTGTAGGTCTGGTTTGCGTGGACGGTACTGAACATGGAATCCATCTTTGAAGAAGACTCGCAGCTCCGAAGAGTTGTTGAAGGGGAACTGGTTATAAACTCTGGTTTTACCCCTGACCAAGCTCTGAAGGTGCAAATAACAGTTCTGCATTTGAGTAGTGTAAGGTGGCTTACACTTTGATGCTGATGGACTCACCTTAGCTTTTCAACTTCTGTGTTTTCTTTTGTTGTCATGCTTGGGAAACACAAGAAACAAACCAGTACTTACAGCTGTATAATTGAAGTGTATACTTGCTTCCCAAGGTTCATTTAACAAGGGTCACAACCTATTAATTGAAGGCTGTGTTCATCACATGTGTGAAGGAGATTGCTGTTTTCAAGCACTTGCCATCATGTCCCAAATGCATCAGAATCCCCTGGAGAACTTGTTAAAAATCAGATTCCTGGACCTCAGCTTCTGAGTTTCTGAGTCTGGAGTTGGACCAGGAATTTATTTTTAAAAACTCCCTAGCTGATTCTTCAGCTCATTAAAGTGTGAGAGAGACTGGAATAAGGCTTTAGATTTAAAGGCCTTCTATTTTAGGTACTATCATATCGACACTGGTTTTGGGTTTCAAAACCTGTTAAGGAATTTATCATTCTTAAAAATCCTTTTAAAATCTAAATTTCAAAAGATTGATAAAGTTTCACAATCACATGGACTTCTGGTTTTCATATCATTCTACTCTCTTGTACTATAGCATTGTACATGCAGGGGAATATCAAATGGAAATTTGGTTAGACTAGACTCTAAAGACACATTCCAATTCTGGAATCTGTGGAAATGTTTTAACAGAAAAAAAGCTGCCCCATGTGTCTTGCTACCAAGGAGGTTAAAGTGTTAGCTAGTGGGTAGGAGAAGTGCTTTATATGACTTTCTTTTTTCTTACTGAATTGAAAACAAAATGTTTGGCATTTCATTTGGATCAGAGTAAAGTCTTTTCAATTGTGTTCATTTCGTGGTTGCTCAAAGCGTGTCCTCTTTTGTAGAAAGCCCAGGCCCAGCTGAAGCTCCCCATCGTGCCGTCCCTCCAGAGGCTGCTGATTTATCGCTGGGCCCATCAGGCCCTGGTCACACCTTCTGATCACCCTCTTCTGCCACTCATTTGGCAGAAGTTCTTCCTCCTCTATCTTCACCGCCCAGGACCACAATATGGGTATGGTACCAAGTGTAGTAAGTTTCTGTGAATCCATTCCTGCCTTCTCACTGTTCTGATTCTGTGTGTTCTTAAACTGTGTAATGTTAGTTTGAATCATTCTTCGGTAACCTCTGGCTAGGAGGTCTCCCTCTTCTGTTTAGCATTTATTAGACTGGACCTTTTTTGAGTTTGGGGTATTTTTGGGGGCTTCTTTTCACCATCCTTCGTACCCAGCATGGTGAAGACAACACCCTGGGACTGGGCAAGGTTTAGCATAGAACCTCTGGAGATGTGAAGGGAGAGAAACTGCCTCAGACCGAAGCTGCTTGTGTGACTGTTGTGGGGCTCATGTGGGGAGACCTTGTAATGAGTAGTGCAGGTGTGGACAAAGGCCAGGCTGTGTCTGGTAGCCCTGGGGTTGTGCTTTGGAGTGTGCAACATTTCCACTGGGTCAAACTGCCTCAGACCGAAGCTGCTTGTGTGACTGTTGTGGGGCTCATGTGGGGAGACCTTGTGATGAGTAGTGCAGGTGTGGACAAAGGCCAGGCTGTGTCTGGTAGCCCTGGGGTTGTGCTTTGGAGTGTGCAACATTTCCACTGGGTATGAAGGTACTCTGGCCAGCTGGAACTGTCCACTGTCACTGACCATTGTTCTCTAGCTTCCACCTCAATTCCTAGCTCTCCCCCATTTCTTGACTCATGACTTTTAGATGTTTGTCACTTCTGTATTCTACCAGATTTCAAGTTCTTCAATATCGGAAACCATCTTTAAATCTGTACCTCTGTGTGGTGATGATGTCTTAAATTTGCATAGCATTTCGTTTTTTTTAAAACTACTTTTTTATACACCATCTTGTTGGATCTTCAAAATAACCTTTGAGGTAGTATTAATTTAATGGTGTATATACACAGCCATAGTAAATTGCCTTGCTAATTGACTACTACTTTGTGCCATACGGAAAGGCACTTATGTTGAAAGGTTATAGATCTGTGATTGTATTTTTTAAGGTTACCCATAGATGGTTGTATTGGAAGAAGATTTTTTCAAAGTCCTGCTCATATCAATTTGTTGAAAGAAATGAAGAGGCGTCTGACTGAGGTGGCTGACTTCCACCATGCTGCGAGCAAGGCCCTCCGAGTTCCAGCAGAGGGCAGCGAACAGCCGCCAGAGAGTCAGGCTGGTACCCCCGGTTACCTGACTTCACCAGAGCTGCACACAGAACTTGTGAGGTGAGCGTGGTTACTTAACCATTCATGTTGTTGTTTGTAGCACTGGTACTGTGCTAGAGCAGTAAGCTGTGTTATAAACTGCTAGCCCTTAATCTCTTAACCCTGTTAGATTGAACATGGGGGGTGGCTTTGGTATAGGTCTGCTTCTTGAAATGTTTCTCTTTTATTTTCCTTAAGAGAAGTGAATCAGCAGTTCAGATGTACCTCTGTTGGCTGGAGTCCGAGTGATAAATCAGAGGGCTGATATCCTCTTCTGTTTCTTTATGTAAAAATAGAAACCAAAACAATTTCATCATAGCAGGTTCAACAACTATTAAAACCTGCAAGAACAGTTCTTTAAAAGAAACAAATGACCAGGGCAGGGCTCTTTAAGATCTTCCATGGGATTCAGGGATCCACCTGGGGTGGGGGTACGGATTAGTAAGCTCCCAAAACTGCTATAAAAGCAGGCACAATGTTTGCATCCCCCAAAGGGTTAAGAGCTCTGACTACATTTGGATTCCCTTCACACTATTCATTCACCTTTCATTAGTAAGTTTGAGATAAACCAAATATTAGTTTTATAAATAAGACTTAAAAAAAATTGCTCCTGATAATTAACCCTGAATACAAAATAGCTTGGTGAGGAAGCCCAGCAGTTCACTTAGCACTGAGGCCTCAGGCGGGCTTGACCTCAGCCTTTAGGGCTCACTCTCGACCTCCAGATTGATTTCTGCCCTTATCTTGCCCCGTTGAAGGAAAACTTATTTTTAACCAGGCTTAACCAGTGGAAGACTTTCTCTTTGGACATTTTAGATCAGCCAGGATACTTCCTTCTGCCTCTTAGTAAAAAAAATTTTTTTTTTTGACGGCTGACCGGTGAGGACATCTGAACCCTCGACCTTGTCTTCTGCCTCTCTTAAATCCCCTTTCCTGAGGTACATTTATAAAGTGGCCATCTATCTCACCAAATCAGAAGCAGAAGAGAGAACAGCATACCTCTTCCCTTTAGGAACCTCAAAGCCCTATTCATGTCTCTCTTTCTAGACAGACTGTTGCAGAAGTAGAGGAGGTAATTTTTCACTTTATTGAGCAAAACCAAGCTGTGCCACCTCCTGGTCCCCCACCCAGTAATTTGTGCACTGTATTGCCAACTACCTCTCTAGTACTGTTGCTGCAAACAGCTGCTTAAAGTACCAGTGATCTTAGCTAAATGTCTTCCTTGTAAAAACACAACAAAACTAAATAAAAATAAAGGAAACATGATATTTTTCAAAAAAGTTTTTACTGGAAAATTGAGACTTTTTAAAAAGCCTGGTTTTGTTTTATTCCTTCTTTTAACAGAAGCAGGGTGCACACATGCTGTGAATTTTGTGATTCCTTGAGGCAGGAGATGGTCATTGAGCATAAAGCTGGCAAATTCTTCTAATGCATACGTTTAAAATGGCTCTTAATGTTTTCTCTGAAGGACAGAAAATGTGCTTAATTGAATGTTATTTTCGCTTTTCCAAGCATTAAGGCTTACTGTGACTGAATTGGTCTGGAAAGAAAAGCTCCAAATTCAGATCCTAGGTCTGTGGTAAAACCACCTTCAGTTATTTCTTTGTGCCGTATTTAACTCTACTTTAATAATGGAGTTCTCAGAGCCCCTACCTTATAGCTTTTGTTTTAGGACTTACTACATCTTATTGTAATGATCTGTGATGTGTCTCCCTGCCAGACCATGAGTTTCTTGGGAGCTGTGGCGGTTGTTGGACACATTTCCTGTATTATGGACTTTCTTTACTCCTATGAACAGTGCCAGAGTTCCTAGATATATGAGAAACTTCATTTGACTGCGCATCTTTTTATATTTTATATAATTATGTTTTTATTTTTTAGGCTCTTCAATGTATATATATTATGGCTAGAAGATGAGAATTTTCAAAAAGGAGATACCTATATCCCTTCTCTACCAAAGCAGTATGATATTCACAGGCTAGCAAAAGTGATGCAGAACCAGCAGGTGAAACTACGACAATATCTTTTTTAGCATATCTCAATGTAACTTGAATGGGTCATGTTCATAACATAATGGTAAAACCACTTATTGATATGGAAATGGGTGGTCACTCGAGTGGTCATTGTTTCTGTGGGTTTTGTCAGCATGTGAGTGATTATTTTGAAGGGATATTACCTTTTGAATCTCCAGCCCCAATGTGGCCTCGCCAGAGGGCTTGAAGCTTGTTCTAGAGCTTTCTACAACCTCATAAACTTAGTTTTCCTGTGACTGTGATTTTTCCTTATTTTAAATTGTCAGCTGTTGAATACTTTTAAGCAATCATCTCTTCTTCCATAAAAAGTACACTAAAAATTTATAAGGTTCCATACATTATACAGGAGGCTAATTGCATGGAGTAGACAAGGAGCTCACTTTTGACTTCAAAGATGCTTGTCAGTGTCATAGTTCTGGCTGCCCTTTTGGAGCCACATGATTCTAGTCTTCATATATCCTAAGCTGTCCTCTCTCTGGCACCCAAAGATGTCTGTGATCCTTTTTCAGGCCCAAACTTCTAATCTCAGTTTTGTTTAGGCTTCTATAGCCATCTTAGGGGCAGAGCAGGGAGTGAGGGGGTGGTGGGGAAGACATCACTCACGTTCCAGTTCCTTTTTTCTAGGGGTTGAACTCCATTGGGCATTGATCCCAATGCTGGGATGGGATTTAGGAACTTCTAAGACTTGAGAGACTTTCATTCGGATCCTTAAACTTACCCACTTCCACATTGTATGTACTGTTTTATCTCCAGTGGTGTCTTTGACTTTCTTCTATTTTCTTTCCTTTTTTCCTTCCTCTCTTTCCTTTTTTCTTCCTTTCATGAATATTTATTGAGTGTCTTCTAAGTGCCAGGTATCTAATGCAAAAGATAGAAAAAGAAATCTGATAGAGTCCCCACCTTCAAGGAGCTTACTGTCAATTGGGGGACTAAATAAATAAATATTACATCTCAAGATCAAGACTGTGGGAGTGGAATGCACAGGATGCTGTGGGAACATAGAGTTAACAGCCCCTAATTCAGACTGGGGCTGGAGTGGATTTTTTAGCTGAGCCCTGAAGTTCAAATGGGAGTTGGTCATGTTGAAAAGAAAGGCATGTGATGGGGAAGGGCAGAAAAGATGCTAATTGGCGGAAAGACCAGTGTGTGTAAAGACCTGGCAGGTGAGAGAGGATTTGGCATATTCAAAGAGGTGCAGGTGAAAGCATAGCAGCTGGGGCAGAGCAGATGAAACCAGAGAGATGAATAGGGATAAAATCACTAAGGGCCATATAAGCCTTTCTAAAGAATTTGGATTTTATTCTGAAGTTTTTGTTTGGAGAGCTATTGAAATAGCAGCAGTGATTAAAATGGATAAATTAAAAATATATTGAGGGAGAATCAGTAGGATTTTGTGGTTGATTAGATGCGCAGGGACTTGCACATGTCTAACTTGGGTAGCTAGAGATTCTGTTTACAAAGACAGGGAATACCAGAAGGGGAGGTGACTGAGGAGCTTCAAAGAGAGCTGTCTGTAGAGGACCAGAGGAGTTGGTCTGGAGAGGAGATACAGATCTAGGGTTCAGGAATAAGGCAGTGTAAGAAACGTGTGTTCAATGGTAATAAAATGTTTAGATTATGAAGAGGACTTGAAGGTAGAACCCTGAGGAATAACAACATTTAAGGCACAGAGAAGTAAGACTGAGAATATAAGGCCAGAGAAATAGGAAAAATAAATACGAGATCATGGTGTCCTGAAATACTTTCAGTGCAGTTTCATACTCAGCTCTTCTTTATACTCCACACCCGAAGTCCTTATTCAAGGCTTTGCACATAGTAGGTACTTGGTCACTGTTTTTAAAAATTAACCTTAACTTTCTTGGTTCTCTGACATTTATTCTTATTCCTCAGGATACTGAATCAATTGCTTTCTCTCTCTTTTTAAAGTTAGTCTTTGCTTGCCATTTGATATGTAACACCTTTTTTGTCTATATTTCAAGCTCAGAGTTATTTTATATTTTTATGGTTTCTAAGACATCTCTGCTTACCTATCATTAATATTTTCTCTAATTGTTAGCCTCTGCCAATAGTTGTTGAGCAGAAGGTGACATAGTGACCCTGTTTAAAGAAGGTATGTATATATAGTAGGAGGGTCTGGTGCAGCACATTGAACAGGGGTGCGTACAGGATCGAGGATTGTGATCGTTATTACTTTGGAGCTGTTCTTCTGAGTCTGGAATGCCTTGTGCCCATGTGGTTGGTTTGGAAATAATGACTTAGAACTTCATGGCAGTGTGCTAATTGGGAAGCCAGGTACATTTTTAGGCTTACAGGAGTCCTTGGGCCTGTAGAACACTTAAAATCAGAAAAAAAGTAAATCATGGTTTGCAAAACCATAGTCCATATTTGATCACTTGCTATTACTATTTGAAGTAGTTTTTAGTTTTCATTGATATTTGACATTTATTTTGCTGTTGTTGTTGAAGGTGTTCCACCATTCTGATATGTAGTGTTCACCAGAGTGAAGTAAATACAGTTCAGAATATGCCAGACAGCCCATTGGAGTGTGGAAAGAGAGAACTGGAACCTCTATTTCTATTTTTTTTCTCATTTTATTAATTTACGTCTTTATTTCACCTTTTATTATGAAATAATTCTATCATGTAGAAAAACAGGCAGAGTAGTATAATGGGCAAGCCCTTTCCCCCTCCCCCGTGTTTCTAGCTTCATCCATAGTCCATACACTCCCTCTGCCATATTGTCTTGGAGCTAATAATCCCAGAGAGCATTTGATACATAAAGATTTTAAGAGATAAGGATAAAAAAGTAACATAACTCAGTAGCATTTACATCTAAAAGTATTAACAGTAATTACTTAATACCAGATATCTAGTCATTGTTCAAATTTCTAGTTATCTCATAAATATCATTAAAGTTTAGTTTTTATTTATTTTTACAGTTTGTTTGAATCTGGATCCACATTTTGTGATTAGTTGATATGTTTTATAAGTCTGTTTAATCTATATAGGTCCATCCCCTATCACTTTTTTCCCCTTACAATTTATTTGTTGAAGAAACTGGGTAGTTTGTCTATACAGGTTCCCCAAAGTCTTGATTTTGCTGATTGTACCTTCATGGTGTAGTTTAATATGTTTTTCTGTTCCCTGTATTTCCTGTAAATTGTTATCTGGATTTAGGGGCTTTATCTAATCCAGATTTGATTATTTTCAGTGTATTTACTTTGTATCTCTTTAGAATTTTCTGTTTTTTTACCTGTGTCTTACAGTGTACATAATTTATTAGCTCAGTAGTATATGTATATAACTTATAAATATATATATAGTGGGGATGTTAAAATTGTTTTTTTCTAATCATGTTACACAATCAGAAAAGTTTCACGACTAATGCCATTTTAAATGCAACTCATCCTAATGCTGGGGAGCTTGGAATGGACCACCTCATGTTGAAACTCACTGGTTCACTTTGTAGTTAAATGTGTAGTTTTATATATGAATATGTGATTCATCTGTCAAAGTTAAAATACTGTGGTTCCATTCCAGGATCTGTGGATGGAATATTTGAACATGGAGCGCATATATCACGAGTTTCAGGAAACTGTTGGTTTGTGGACGCAGGCCAAGCTTGAGTCCCATTCCACGCCCTGCAGTTTGTCAGTGCAGCTGGACTTCACTGATCCTCTGTTGGGTGAGTCATGTGAGCATCAGTCCCTTTGAATGACTGACTGACTGATTGAGTCAGAGCTGCTGAGGGTTAAGGTTTACACACTTCATGCCTCCAGTGAGAGTTGCTTTTTCACTGATCCTCTGTTGGGTGAGTCATGTGAGCATCAGTCCCTTTGAATGACTGACTGACTGACTGAGTCAGAGCTGCTGAGGGTTAAGGTTTACACACTTCATGCCTCCAGTGAGAGTTGCTTTTTGGGGAGTTCAGTGTTAACTTGTCTACCACTTAGAGTTAGGTTAGGCTGTGAGTGAGAGAAAAGTCCAAGCAGTAATGGCTTAAACAAGATAGAGCTTTATTTTTTCTCAAAAGAAATAAGTTTGGAAGCAGGCAGTTCAGAGCAGTAGGGTAGCTTCATGACCACTGCAGGCCTCCATGGCCCCCTGCTCCTCCTCCCTGCTTCCCCTCTATTCTGCCAGGAAGTGTCCACCCACTGTTCACGATGGCTGCGGAATCTCAAGCTGTCACAGTCACATTCCAGTAGGCAGGGGGGTGAGACCACTTCTTTTAAGGACTCTTTCAAGAAGCTGCACATAGACTTTCCCATTCCACCTTGTTGCCCAAACTGAGACACCTGGCTATACTTAGCTGGAAAGGTGGCTGGAGAGTGACCAGTTGTGTACTCGTTGTTAAATTTTTTCTGTGATGCTTTAGAAAGACATTTCATTTTACTTACAGAACTATGTGTAAAATGCAGCTTTAAATGTAATTATTTTGGGTTTGCAGTTTTAAAACTCAGAAGTCTTTCTTTTTTTTAATAAACTCTTTTTCTTTGTACCTGGAATCCTTACCATACAAATGGATCATATTCCCAAAGTTTCTAAGTTAATCGTTTCTCATGGTACAGTTTTCTAGAAAAACAGTGTTAGAAATTTAAGTTAGTTTTCTTTGCCAGGCCACAAAAGGCCATTTGACCTACAAAGTTGCTGACATACTTCACAACAAAAAATAATAGAAAATGATATTTGGGGTCACCTATTTTAATAACTGGATATATTTTTCAAATATAGGACATATAATAAAATTATGGGTATAATTATTGACCAAAATATTGAAATATATAGTGTAATAGAATACTGAAGTAATTCAGAGAAAGACAAAAATAATTTCTTATTCCTGCTCTATCACTAACCAACTTGTTAGTTGTGCGAAGACGAAAAATAAGAACCTCTTTTGGCTTCAATTTACTCATCTGTAAAATGAAGGCACTGGACGGTCTCCCTAAGGCTGTGAAATTTTTCCCTCCAACATTTCTCTTTTTTCTTTTTTCCCTGATTTTTTTCTGATTATGAAAGTTATATGTGTTCATTGAGAAAATAAGTGAATAGAAAGATATATAGAGGAAGGAATGAAGATTGCCTTTAACCCAGCCATGTAGAGTCTCATTTTCTATTCCTGAAAGTTTGTTAAACGAGAAGAAGAAATTTGTGGGTAGATCTGGAAACTGTTGAATGCTTTCTGTTCATGCCATCCTATCCGCAGTGCTTTCATGTTGCCTGAACACTGCCCTGAAAGGCTAATTGTTTTGTCTGGAGTTAAGCTAGTAACTTATGAAGCTCTTAGTTTGCTCTGGGCCCTGTCCCAGTACTTTACATACAGTAATTCAGTCCTCACAGCAGCGCTATGCAGGTTATCCCCGTGTAGCAGGTAAGGAGCCCAAAGTGTAAAATGGTTAGGTAACTTGTCAATGTGTGCCCACACAGCTGGTATGCAGCAGAGCTGTCTGGCTCCAGAGACCCTGCTATTACCACTTAGAATCCTACCTCTTGTTTCTGGCAATTGATACAGGGCCTAAACAAAATTAGGGCCTAGATTTATAAACAATTAGTTTCAGGTTTTTCTCAGATGATAGCAGGTTAGGTGATGATTATGTCAAATGATTGAACTTGGGGGTGTGATCATAGGCAAAATTTCACTCGCACATTTTTGATACCAAATTCTTTTTCTTGAACTAAATTGGCTTTGTTGGCTTCAAATATTTTGTCAGTTGTTGTTCAGAGTGGTGATTACAGTTAAATATGCTCTGAATCTAAATGTTTTTCTGTCTTTTATTTTGTATTCAGAATATTATTCTTAATTTTTCCTTTATGGTAAGTTATATAGGGTTTGAAAAAGTCCTTGGTTTTTCTTTAGAGTATAGCCTATAATGTTG